ATTCTGCTCATTCACTAAATTAATCAACTGGATTAACTGGAAGTATTAGGCACATCAGTCTTAGCCCCAATCATTAAAACATGAGAGTTGCTGAATGCATCTTCTAAGCAATTTGAAAATTTTCTTTCATAATGTTCTATTTCTAGTGGAAAATCTGCTGATAATTTTTTTCAGTCTGCTTCAAGAATCTGAGCATGTATAAAGTCTCCTTGAATTAACGCCTAGCATTTTTTATAATCTTCTTTTTAAAATTCCTTAATAAAAATGCATTAAACACTGAATATTAACCTTTGGTCCTGCCATCTCAGCTCTTAGTCTCTCTGGAGGACATCTCTTTTCCTTACTCTTGTGCTGCAATTACAAACAGGTTTCTTTCTCAGCATACCCAGCTTCCTCCCAGCATATTCCTCACATCATAGCTAACCCCCTGCACAAGTGGACCATAACTGCTTTACTCAAAATTGTGTGATTCAAATCATACTCCCAGGCATGCTTGAAACTCATTCAGATTTCCATTCTTCTCATCAGAGACTCTCTGGCACTTATCTCTACCCCTCCTTGCTCTCTCTGAAAAGGTTGTATCAACTGCTTTCATTTCTGACAATTACTGTCCGCATTAGGCTGAACCACTACCAGCCCACACCCGGTCTCTTTGCTTTAGTTATTTTTTTCAGATTTTTCAAAATATAACTGACATAAAACATTTTGTAAGTGTAGCTGTACTATGTGTTCATTTGATACAGCTTACGTAGTGCAAAATAATTACCATAGTAATAGTATTAGCAAATATTTTCATCCCATCACAAAATTACCATTTCTTTTTTTTGTAGTGAGAACAAGATCTATACTCTCAGTAACTTTCAAATATATAGTATAGTATTAGATATAATCACTATGCTTTAGTTTAACTCTCCTGAATTGCTTAATTTTTTACTAGCATTTTGTATCCTTTGATTAATTCAATTTTTCCTCATTTCCCAACTCCTAATCCCTCATGACCACCACTCTACTTTCTATTTCTCCGAATTTGGCTACTTTAGATTCCAAAATATAGATGATATCATACAGTATTTACCTCTCTCAACAGTCATTTTTAAACAATTCGTTTTAAGTATTGATCTGTCTTCTTACCTCAAAAAGTGATTTCCTTTCCCTGGTGTTCTCTTGAGGCATTCCTTGTCCATGTTTCACTTGTATTCCTCTTACATCCCTGCATACCCCCCCAAAAAAAACCCACCTCTTCTTTTGTGTCTCTCTCCTCTCCATACAACCCCTCCTACCTCTCCCTTCTCTCACACCCAATGTATATTACAGTCTCTTAATCAGCTGCAGCCAATATCAGTGTTTCATTACCCTTTCCTTCTTGACCTCTAAAGCTAATTCAGTTGGGCAGCACTACATATCATTGTGACATTCTCTTGGGTCACGACTCAGGACTGCTTGTTTGATGATAACCTCCTATGACTTGGAAACAATGTAAGTGCCAGTGGCAAGTGATTGCATAAAGATGATGTGGAACTTAAACACAATGGAATACTACTCAGCTGTGAAAACAACATGGATAGACCTATATGGTCTATCTCATTCACCTACAGCCACACTTCCACCCACCTCTGCACTGAAACTGCTCTCAACATACATTGCCAACCTGATTGAAAATCCAGTGGCCTCTTTACAATCTCCATCCTCCTTAATAAAAGCTAACATTCATCTTTCCCCTACTATCTGCAAGGCATAGTTCTTAAGGTTTTAGATTTATTAGCCTACTAAGTCATTGACAGCTCTCTAAAGTCAGTTCATACTCTCCTTTTACACACACACACACACACACACACACACACACACACACACACACACAAAGCTCATTCACACAGCTGGAAGTGGTAGAAACTTCCACTGCAGCCAGTGTGTCTTTTCTAACTCTGTGAAAACAACATGGATAGACCTATATGGTATTACGCTAAGTGAAATAAGTCAGATGGAGAAAAACAAACACTGTATGATTTCACTAATGCAGAAGTTAAGGAAACAAAATTAATGACCAAACCAAACAAAAACAGATTAATAATAAAACAGCAGAAGGGAAGGGAGAGTAAGTCAGGTAAAAGGGGTCAATTATGTGGAGAAGGCTGGAAACTAGACTTTTGGTGGCAAACATAATGTAGTGTATACAGATGTTGATTCATAATGGTGTGCACCTGAAACCTATGTAATATTATAAACCAACATTACTTCAATAACCAAAACGTTAATACAATTTTTTTAAAGTTTTTAAATGATAGTCTCTTACATAGCAATTTTTCAGACTACAAATCATATTCAATTTATAAACTCTCCTAGCTAATATTTGATTACTTCTGGCAGTAGTTGGAACCCTGCTTCCCACATGGAAAGCTCTGGCAAGTTTATCATTCACCACTAAGAGTGAGAACCCCACTGAAACAATGAAACGTTTTTCGAACATCAGAAGACACTGCATAACAAAAAATGCTTCTGTTGGGGAAAAAATGTGGCGGTATCACCCTTTTAGACTTCACACTATGCTACAAAGTGATAGTAATTAAAACAGCTTGGTATGGGAATAAAAACAGACATAAAATTAATAGAATAGAATTGAGAGCTAAGAAATGAAAACACATATAGTTAACTAATTTATGACGAAGGAACCAAGAGCATGCAATGGATAAAGGAGAGCCTTTTTATATAGTCTTGAGAAACCTGGACCATTATATGCAAAATAATGAAACAAAACCACTATTAGACATCATACACAAAAACTACCTCAAAATGGATTAAAGACTAGAAACTCTAAAATACATGAAAGAAAAAATGGAACATACACTATACTTGACATCAGCCTTGGAGATGTGTTTGGGGACTCAACTCCAATGGCAAGGGAAACAAAAGCAAAAATAAACCAATGGGCTTATGTCAAATTAAAAGCTTCTTCAGAGAAAGAAATAAAAACAAGAACATTCTACTGAATGGGAGAAGATATTTGCATATAATACATCTGAAAAGGGGTTAAAATCCAAAATATTCAAAAAATTAAGAAAACAGAACAATGGGGCCTCCCTGGTGGAGCAGGGGTTAAAGTCTCAGCAGCCACTGTAGTCTGAGTTCAATCCCTGGCCAGGGAGCTGACCCACGTGGCACAGCAGACCTTTCCTGACTAGCCCTCTACTCCCCTCAGCAGTGTATTTCAGTCAGTCTGCCTGTTTTGCTCCCTACTCTGTCTCTGGTGAATCCTCTCACCCTCCACACTTCTGGCCTACACCCCAGTTCTTTTATGCATAAATAAATAAATAAAATTAGCCTTTTAAAAAAAAGAACAATAAAAAATATGAACAAATTGTTTTAAAAAATTCCCAGAGAATCTGAACAGATACTTCTATTGGGATGGCAAATAGGTTCATGAAAGACATGCGGATGGCAAATAGGTTCATGAAAAGATGTTCATACTCTTATCATCATGAAATGCAAACTAAAATACCAATAAGATATCACCTCATTGGGCCTCCCCAATGGCGCAGTGGTTGAGCACTGGGTTGCGAATCTGCCCACAGCCTCTGCAGCGCCGGTTCAATCCCCAGCTGCTCCCAGGCCACCGGAGGAGGGTCCCACATGGCGCACAGACCTCTCCTGCCGCCCGCTGCTTCCCTCAGCAGTGTACTTCGGTCCTTCTGCCTGCTCTGCTCCCTGCTCTGGCGCTGGTGAATTCTCTCACCCTCCTGTGCTTCTGACTGTACCCAGTGCTTGTATAAATAAATAAACAAATCTTAAGATACCACCTCACACCTGTGAGAATGGCTGGCATCCAAAAGAAGAGAAACAAGTGTGGGCAAGGAGGTAGAAAGAAGGGAATCCACTGTGTTTGGGGAATGTAAATTGATGTAGCCATTAAGGAAAGCAATGTGGACAGTCCTCAAAAATTAAAAACAAATTCCATATCATCCAGTTACCCACTTCTTGATATTTACCCAAGAAGTATAAAACCATAAATTTGAAGAGCTGTATACACCCCCACTTTTACCGCAGCACTATTTACAATAGGCAAGAACTGGAAATAACCTAAGTGCCCATCAATGGATGGGTGCATAAAGAAGAGGTGATGTATATAGACAACAGAATACTATTCAGCTATTTTTAGAAAATGAAATCCTGCCATTCTCAACAACATGGATGGACCTAGAGGAAATTATGCTTAGTGAAATAAACCAGACAGAAAAAGAAAAACATTGTGATTTCATTCATATGTGGTTGATAGAGAAAACAAACAGATTAACTAAATAAAACAAAAATACTTATGGACTATGAGATCAATTAATGGTTACTAGAAGAGAAGGAAAAAGGGCATACTAGTGTGGAAGGACAGATTTAGACTTTTAGTGGTGATCTCATAATAGTATGTACACGTGTTGATTCTCAACAACTGTGTTGTTGAGACTTGTATTATGTTATAATTTATATTACTTAAAAATAAAATTTAAAATAAACTTTAAACCAATCTATATATGTTTAATACACTTAAGTTTACCAAGAGTCTATTTTTAACAGAGCCACTTTCTAATTTCATTAATGTTAATTGCATATTTTGATAAGAATGTATATTAAAAAAATACATGCTAGAGTCTTAAATTACTGACCTTGGAAAATAAACCCAAGTGAACTCTTAAGATTCACTACATCCACTACATCTGAAAATGCAATGGGCAGAGGAATCTTATTATGCTTATTATCCATCATTAATCCACTCAGCTTCCCAGTCTACAGCCAGGATGTTTGCTGTTGCTCATAATAAAGATCTGTCCTCAGCAAACCACTGGAGGGGTTTTCTTTTAAATCTAAAGGAATAAGAAAAGGTTTTAAAACTATGATTTGGAAAAAGTTCAGCCACAAATTCTCATGAACATTTATGAGATCCGATTTATGTTGTCTTACCTTTGATAAGAAAAGAAATGGATGTATTGTGGTGAATGTGTTCATTGTAATTTTCACAGAGAGATTCGGAATACTAGAAGCTTAACTTACATAGAACCTGGTGCCCTGAAAGAGCTCCCCCTTCTGAAGTTCCTGTGAGTATTAACCATTCTCCCGTCCTAACCTTCTTATGTAAAAAAGAATTATAATGCTACCTGCCAGGATTGTTCTAGAGAGTATGGCAGTGGGACAAGTCATATCCTGTGATTGACTCCCTCACACCCACCCCTACCTGCAGCAAGGTATCAGGTGAAATGAGGCACATTTGAAAACCCCATTCAAGGGTCAGCACATAGTGCTCTACCAGAGACCTGCTCCAAAAGACATGAGTGAGGAAATGCCATCATGTCTGTCTAGTCTTTAAATGGAGTAAACAAACTACAAAACATTGAGTGTCCACTGGTCAATTTGATTGAAATAGGTATTGCAACAATCAGAGTAATTGTTACAAAGGAAAAAAAGGCCATGAAGAATAAAATCCAATCTCTTGGAGGCTAAAGGGACAAACATGGAAGGGAGGTCCTTTGCTTTGGTGACACCCAATGAACTAACTGATTACCTTTATGAGAGCAGGGACCAGCTTTGTTCTCTGCATCTTTGTTGCTCAGCACAGAGAAAGTGCTCGTTATACCTGTGTTTGGTGGATATGTGTGTATGGACTCAGATCTTCTAAGCACCAGCTGAAAGAACCCTACCTTTATTCCCTTCTAATCTACTTAGATACATTTTCAAAAATTAGAGAACAAGAGCCTTCATTATTAAGAAAAACAAAAAAATGCATTTTCATTCCAACACCCTGAAATAAGCAGTATTAATATATTAGTTCATATATATTTATTCATTTATATTTTATTTAGTTCATATATATTTTATTTAAAAGGTTTTTAAATAAAAGTAGATATTTCATATATGTGTTATGGAATAAATCTGTACTGATGACTAGAAGTTATCCTGGAAGAGAAGGAAGGGATAGAAAATAAATAATGGTGAATGGAATAATATTATAAAGATATGGAATCACAAGATTTATTTATTTTTATATTGACGTGTGGGTGATGGGAGATGCCAGGAGTGGAGAAGGATATTGATTGAATCTGTGACTGAAGGGCTATCTGGAGATCAGAGAAAACTTATGGGACAAGCGATCAGTCACTCCCTTATGGACTTTTGAGTTTCAATAAATCAGTGACTCTGAAATAATGATGTCCTACTATGTGCAAGACCCTGTGTAGAACACATGGGATTTTAAAACATTGTCCTTATCTTCAAGAAGCTTACAATCAACTTGGGGGATTTATTGCATATGAAATTGAAAAGTTCCTCTCCTACAGGAGAATACTGAAGGTGACAAATGAGAGGTAAATGTTGTTTGACATCAAAAATGAGGTGAACTTGTTTGTGGTTTTAAAGAACATAGAGGTCCTTGTCCCTAATAATAGAATTTCCAGCCCTTTCCTATATGGCCCCCACTTAACCCTTGGACCTTTCCAAAAACCCCCCAACCCACTCTTTCACATGAACACTTATTACATTTGAACTAGTTTGTTTACTGTTCTTCAAATGTACCTTTGAAGAATCTCACCTCTCTCCTTTGTAATCTGGAACTTCTCATTTGCTCTTTCTGACTCCTGGCTTCCTCTTCAAATCTTGTGTCTTCTCCTCTTAAAGGAGTCAAGCCTGAATTTGCCCTAGATGATACATCAATGGAACTGGAGTTTTCTCTACTGGAAGACATTCTTGACAGTTTTACGAGTAGGTCTAATGCCATGCCAAAATGCTCAAAAAAAAAAATCTCTGCTTTCACCACCTACATTGTAGGAAGTGCACCAAATGTTAAACCAATTAAATCTGAGAGGCACCAGGAGCCTGGGAGTTTTTGCATTCATGCTACTTTATGCATGTCTTTTAATCTCAACATCTCGCCCTGATGACACAAACTTCAGAAAGTGAAGATGTTGTCCTTCACTGATTACCATCCTGGTCTGGACATATCTTTTAAATGGTATTGCTGACATGGACTCCTACAACACTGCCCCAGGAAAACCATTCTTGGTGAAATGATGAATACAATATAGAGTTTTTTTTTTTTTTTTTTTTTTTTTTTTAATAGAGGCATGTTTATTTATTTATTTATTTTGTTTGTTTTGTTTACACATGCACTGGGTACAGCCAGAAGCACGGGAGGGTGAGAGAATTCACCAGAGCCAGAGCGGGGAGCAGAGCAGGCAGAAGGACCGGAGTACACTGCTGAGGGGAGCAGCGGGCGGCAGGGGAGGTCTGCGCGCCATGTGGGACCCTCCTCCGGTGGCCAGGGAGCAGCCGGGGATCGAACCAGCACCGTAGAGGCCGCGGGCAGCCTCGCAACCCAGCGCTCAACCGCTGCGCCACCCGGGAGGCCCCACAACAATATAGAGTTTTAAAGAGGAAGCCTGACTTAGAGTCGGATGATTATATATAGTCTTTCTTACCCATTCTCCATTTCTCCAACACACATATAATGTCCTCCAATTAAAACAACAATATCACACACAGAGAAAGAAACCTGAGCCCCATGTGGTTTAAACAATCCCCAGACCTCTAAGTAGGAAAAGTGTGTTGACAGTGGTGGACTGGACTAGATTCTTTTGCTTGAGGGAATATCACCTCACCCAAGGGTTAGAATTTGACCATGGCCACTCAGCTATTAAGTGAAGGAATTAAGGTTTGACTTGTCTGACTTCAGAACCCGTGTGTTCAGCATTACTTTATTCTACATTCTCTGCATTGATTTCGTACCTAATTTTTGTTCTTTTTCTTCTTTTTTGTGTGATTTAGTGGCATTTTCAACACTGGACTTAGAGTATTCCCTGATCTAACTAAAGTTTATTCCACTGATGTATTCTTTATACTGTAAGTATACACCATGCAATGTTTGCAACATTTTATTTATCAATGACAAGAACCAGGGGTAATCATGGGGGTCGGTTAAAGTCAAGTGAAGCAATTATCTCAAGGAGAAAGTAGTGATTAGCTTTGCCAGATGTACTAATGGATGGAGTCATGAAAGAACTGAGTTTAGTAATATGGCACATTAATGATTCTAACAGAACTGTCCCAGTGGAGGACTGGACATAGAGAGGTCTGGTAGAAGTAGGCTCAAGAGAGAATCAGAGGATGAACATTAGAAAGTGTGACCACAACAAATGCTTTTGAGAGGTTTCACTATTAAAAAGGAACAAAATGGGATCAAATTCAGCAATCAAAAAGGTAAACTCATGCCATTTTGCAGCAACGTGGATGGAGCTGGAAGGGATTATGCTCAGTGAAAAAGCCAGAAGGAAAAAGAAAAATATTAGATGGTTTCACTTATAGGAGGAATGTAGGGGAATCAAATAAGGGATCAGGAAAATAAATAATAACAATAATAAATTAAAAACAAAAGTAACAGGCAACTATAAATTAGAGACTTTCTGCAGGGGAAGGGCAGAGAGAGGGAGCAAAACAGGGGAGGAAGGAGCACAAGGGACTATGGTGATGGTGCACAGTGAATTGGTGGTGGGAATTTCACGGGGACTACATCTGAGAGGAGAAAGCAAACATTGTACCAAAAAAAATGAACAATTATGTAAAATATATATAAATAAATTAATAAATTAATAAAAAATAAATCATCTTCATAGTTGAAAGATATTGGATCAAGAGAAAAGGTCTGTTGTTTGTTTTTTTAATGAAAGAAGTTTATTTGCTGATGGGAATGATTAAATAGAAGGAAAATTCAATGATAAGGATAATACTTTATTTTTCCCCCAAAGGAAATTTCTCAATTTCTGCAACTGTTACATATGCCTGCTCAGAATTGAAATTTAATGTCTTTAATTTAGCTGTTTCCAAATAATAAAATAATTGTCATCTTAAGTAATTAGCGGAAAATAAAGGCCATCCAATCAAAAAGTTTCCCCCTCTCCGGGGATTTGAGCAGCAATAGTCTCTGGTTACCCAACGCCATAATATCTAGGGAAGGTGAAAATAGTCACTCAGTTGTTTTTGTTACTTGTCAAGAACCCCCACTGCACCCCAATCCAACCCCACACAAATGACTGGTCTCACTAGTATTTCTAATGAAATGGATCCGTTTTTCAGGCGTAGAGGGAATCCAATCAGCAATTCTTAGGAAGGGAATTAAAAAAATAAAAAAATCATGAGGTGTGGGGAGATTTATTTGGAACTTGTGGGTTGAAGGGCAAAAGAAGGCTGGAGAGGAAAATGGTTGGAGAGGAAAATGAGTTTGAGACAACTGGTACTTGAAGTTGTCACAGAAAAAGGCAGAGATTGGAGAGAGGAACATCATTTTCCAGAGTCACTTGATCCTTAGCTCTTGCTCTAGCAAAGCACAAAGCCCTTTTTGCAGCCTTCCTCCCACTCTGCCCACCATGACTGCAATCAGAGGAGCTAAGTGGCTAGAGCACCTCTGTAATAGGCGGTGATTACCTGCAGGAGAGTAACTCTCTGTGCCTTCCTTTTCTGTGTGCTTTGATTTTTTTTTTTTTTTTTTTTTTTTTTTTTTTTCAGAAAGACATGCAAAGAACCCAACCATTCCAAAACAAAACATTCCTTGAATTCCTCCTTTCTCCCCACTCCTGACCAGACCACCTCAGCTTTTCATAAATCTCTCCCCTGCTTTGTAATGATAATAAAGAGCCCTTATATCTTCTGTGCTTGCATGTTCTTCAGAGTACTTTCACATTCATTATCTCATCTGTTTTTCAAAACAACTCTATAAAGTGGGGAATGCAAGGACCATTATTCTGTAAGATAAATGAGGACCCTGGAGCATGAAGAGGTTAAATTATTTATCCAAGTTCATCTGGCTAATTAACAATAAACAGACTGTTCCCCAAATCTCTAGATTGAGGGTTCACCTCTCTATTAATTCTCTCTCTACTGAAGTGTATTCTGTAGCGTGATTCTTTTTACATTATTTTAAGACAACTCAGAACACATATGAAACATGTGTTAGGAAGTGATGCTTTACTTTGCCAAAAGATTCACATGCTTTGCCCGAGAATTCACTACAGGGCTCTTAACATTCTGCAGGGGAGCAGCATCTACAGTGATAAGGGACTCACACACTCAAATGCTTTCCCATGCATTATCACATTTGCTCCTCTCAATCATCTTATAAAGCACAGGGGCCTCCCTGGTGGCGCAAGAGATTAAGATGCAATCTATGAAGCTAACCACAGACACTGCAGCTCAAGTTCGATCCCTGGCCAGGGAGCAACCCACATGGCGCAGCAGACCTCTCCTTTCTCTCCCGCTGCTCCCCTCAGCAGTGTATTTCGGTAGATCTGCCTGTTCTGTTCCCCACTCTGTCTCTGGGAAATCCTCTCACCTCCCCCTACCCTGCACCTCTGGCCTGTACCCCAGCTCTTGTATGCATAAAAATAAAATAAATCTTTTTTTTAAAAAAGCACATAAGTTACCATTTTTCCATGTTACAAATGAAGAAATGAAAGAATAAAAAACCTAAATGATTTTGTCTAAGCAGTAGCCCAAGAGGCAGTCACTAGTGCGCTGCTTCCTGTAACTCTCATTTGTATCCGCATGCTCTCTCCAAACCCAAAGGCATGGTGAGTTATCTTACCTGATGGAGAGAGGTGAAGGACCATATGCATAATATGGGGTTACAAGTTGAGTTTGCACTAGAGTCAGAAAGAGTGTAGAGTGACAGGATCCAAACTCTTGAGTTTGGGGTAAGAAAAATAGTGACCACATTCTTTGCTACAGAAAGCTCAGTTCAAAATATGGCATTGTGTGGGAACTAGACTGGCTTAGAAATGATCCACAGGAGCTCCTGCCTGGCAGAGTTTTGTGAATGGAAGACATTTTAGTAATATTCATGGAATGAAATAGAGCCTATTCTCCCAACCCTCCTTAAAGGCTCCATACCCTTAGAAAACCTAAGGACTATGGACAAAATGTTTATTGCAGATTCAGAAGTCTCTGAGATACACCTGCTCACCTTGAAGATGCGGCTTAAGTCAGGGGCCTTGACCCACGCCCAAAACTTCTGTGACTACTGCACATTTGGAGCTTGTATTGCGTGTCTATCTCAGATACCTTATTGAACCTCTATGTTCCTACAGTCTCAGAAGGGTCAAAGAAACATAAAAAGAAATACAATTAAAGTGAATTGTGTCCAGTTACTTATTTAAGTGTGTCTGTGCAATAAGAACCCAGCTTTGTGGGGATAGCATTTTTTTCACCAAGTGTTTTTGTCTCTCTCTTGCAGTGAAATTACAGACAACCCTTATATGACTTCAATCCCTGCAAATGCTTTCCAGGGACTGTGCAATGAAACCTTGACACTGTGAGTATTGCCAAGGCCACTCCTCCCAACAACTGAATTTTTATTTTGACCATTGTCATATTTTCAGGCCATACGAGAACCATACTACCTTGGAGTCTATGTTATAATCTATAAAGGGTTGCATGTAGATAATAGTGTTGCCTTGTTTCCTTATGGAATGGTGTTCTACAGGTGACAAGATGCTTTAGGGAACAAGAGTATTCCCTTATAGAAGTGGTCAGCACACTCAGTGGGTATGGGGCCGGTTAGGTTTTACCAACCTCAAGGCCTTTATGGCAACTGTACAAATCTGCCGATGTGAGGCAAAATCAGCCATTGTTCATGCACAATGCATAAACAAAAGAGCATGGCTATATCCCAACAAAATTTCATTTACAAAAACAGGCAGTGGACCAGGTATGGCCTACAGGCCTCATGATACAATATTCTGTATTTCAGTATCCCATGGTACAGAAACAGAATTTAAAGTAAATTGAAATGACATTACTGAGGTCACTGAGTTAGATAAAGGGGCCATTAAAGATTGTTCAAACTGGGGCCTCCCCGGTGGCGCCGCGGTTGAGCGCTGGGCTGCGAAGCTGCCCGCAGCCTCTGCGGCGCCGGTTCGATTCCCGGCTGCTCCCCGGCCACCGGAGGAGGGTCCCACATGGCGCGCAGACCTCTCCTGCCGCCCGCTGCTCCCCTCAGCAGTGTCCTTCGGTCCTTCTGCCTGCTCTGCTCCCCACTCTGGCTCTGGTGAATTCTCTCACCCTCCCGCGCTTCTGACTGTACCCAGTGCTTGTATAAATAATAAATAAATAAATTTAGAAGAAAAGAAAAAAAAAAAAAAAAAAAAAAAAAAAAAAAAAGATTGTTCAAACTCTGTATTCACACTTCAACTCTGTCATCACAAACTATACATTATCCTCCTCCCAGAGTGTGAATGGATTCTGTTCTTCAGATGTTCAAAATAGAGGCTTTATCAGGAAGATTCACAAAAAGTTCTAGCAGAGAAGATCTGCTAGATAAGTTATCCCAACTGGTAGAGAATTCCCCTCTCGCTGAATTAGTTACAAAACAGCATTGGGATTACATCCAAAGGATGCCTCCTCTGCATTTTCAGTACCACTGCCTAAAAACATGTCTGGTGGGGTTTTTGCCTTGATTTTCACCCCAGCTCCGTTTCTCTGGCAGTCCTCAGCCTGCAACCCTGATTAAATGATTCCCTAGTGAAACTGTTCCAAGCTTCCATTTTGGGCCTGGACACCAGAGCCCCAGCAGGGCCACTCGTACTGGGGACAGCAGGTGGGGAAACAAGGTGCTGCGGCTCAAGAGGAAGATTCCACTGGAGTCCCTGGGGCCCTGGTGCTCAGATCCAGCTGCACAGGGAGAGACTGTCCACTGGAAGCCTGCTAAGGTGGCACGCAGGAAACTTCTGCCATTGCCACAACTTCAGCGCTGCCTGGGTCTGCCAGGGAGCCCCCTGGGGTCCCTCACACAGGGTGCAGTGGGCAGTAAAACACCCACCAGCAGCTGCTGCTTTCCCTGCCTGCACGTGCTGGGACCATGGGAGGGGGAGCAACTGCAGGCGGTGGACTGAGGCTGAGCCAGGCCCCAGAAAAGCCTGTACACTCCGCTGCTCGGTGCCAGGAAACGCTGATCCTGCACCCAGCTTATGCCAGGGGAGCCTGGTTTCAAGAGCTCTCTTGAAAAGACAAGATTCCTGCTCGGCCACCATTTCACTTGACAAAACAAAGACCTGGTCTTAGCCTGTTCAGCCCCAAACCTAGTTCATTTTCCTCATTGGTAAAGGTTGCCACTGTGCTATTTAGTACTCATGGTGCAGAAACTCCTGATTTTTTTCTTTACAGAATGTTACTTTCAACTCTTGGCATTTTTTTCTGAGGACCTCATTTCCCAGCAGCCCACTCAGTCCTGGCAGGGGTTCAAGAGGTATCTGGTAGACGCTTGAATAAGAGAACCTCCTATTTCCTCAAGTCTGCCGGCAGGGATGGCCTGGGATCACCATGAGCTTTTCAAATGGCTGGTTCTGTGTTCCTGCAAAAAGTCCTTTCTTCTTTGAAGCTCAGGCCCAAAAACTATCAACTTGAAATAATATGTGTCCAACAGCAGTTTGTACCTATATTCCTGGGAGGATTGAGTTTCCATAAGAGTTTGCACTCCATTTTTTTTTTCTTTCTTCACTACTTTCATTTTTCAAGGCCTACTTGACCCTTAAGAGTTTTATTTAAGCTCTGAAGTGGGACTGCAACAAAAAACATTTGTAATGTCAAGGATTTTCCCAAAAGTTTGGGAAAATAGAAATACTCAATGTAAAATTCTCAGATCTTCATAAAAGAACTCTAGTTGAGATAAAACTTATCCATGAGAGCTTTCTCAGTTCTGTGCCTGGCTCCCCTGGGCACTGAGCCCACACACAGCCCACCTTCATAGCTGGAACTAAACCCTTGTGTTAGTACTTAAAACAAAATAAGGACAAAGAAATAACGTTTACTTCTCTGTTCTTCAGAACTACACAAGATAAATCCAGTTTTTCAGGGTACTCCTTTTAATATGGTCATTTCATAAAAGTGTCCTTCACTGTGGGAAACACAGAGTGATTTGAGCTTCCCAACAACCTTATCATGAAGGTCTTATCACATTTTTACAGATAAGAAAACTGGGGATAATGGAGACTGAGAAATTCTCAGGAGCACCTGCTATGAGGTCCCGGAGCCAAGTCTAACTCTAAATTTGGAGTTTCTTGTGTGCTTCTTACTGTGCTATTCCTATAACAGGGGTCACAGGTAGTGGAATACAGTACTTTTGAAAGTTCCCGGGCCTCCCCGGTGGCGCAGCGGTTGAGCGCTGGGTTGCGAAGCTGCCCGCAGCCTCTGCAGTGCCGGTTCGATCCCCGGCTGCTCCCCGGCCACCAGAGGAGGGTCCCACATGGAGTGCAGACCTCTCCTGCCGCCCGCTGCTCCCCTCAGCAGTGTGCTTCGGTCCTTCTGCCTGCTCTGCTCCCCGCTCTGGCTTTGGTGAATTCTCTCACCCTCCCGCACTTCTGACTGTACCCAGTGCTTGTATAAATAAATAAAAATAAATCTTTTTAAAAAAAAAAAAAGAAAGTTCCCTACAACTGCCACTGGCTGTGCCTCAGTGTGGTCACGGCTGCCTTCTCTTATCTCATACCAGTAGCCCCAGCCAAGCCCAGGCATCTCCATGTGGCCCAGAACTCCCCAGGCTGGGGCTTCTTCTCCCTCAGGAAGGGTGTGTGCGTTTGGTGGGTGGGAAGATTTACGTTTCTGGTGAGGAGTCCTGTTCCCAACAGTTCTGCAGTAATGTGGTTTTGGCAGGTCACCTCCATGTCTCAGTACATTCGGTAGGAAAGAGAAGTGATAATACTTCTGCCCAGCCCCTGGAATCATTGTATGAATTAATTAGTTGCAGGGGGGAAAAAAGAACAATAAGATACAACTTTAAAATTTCCACAAAAAGGCACCATCCATCTACTTTTTCAGATTCATCCATGAGGATCACTTTAATTCAGCCCATACCTTGAAGCATTTAATCTCTGACAAAACCTGAGGGCAAAACTGTGGCTAAAATACAAATGTGAAATGATGTTTTAATTGGAAAATATAAAACCTGTCACTCCAACAAATGTGCTCATTTTATAAGAAACTGCAGTTATTCCTCCTTTGCTGACATTGTGTTAACTATTACGAAAATCTCTATTTTTGAGTAGATGGAACATTTTAAAGGTTTTTTTTAAAGATTTATTTATTTATGCACACAAGAACCAGGGTACAGGCCCGAGGTGTTACAGGGAGAGATGATTCACCAGAGACAGAGTGGGGAACAGAACAGGTGGAGTGACTGAAATACACTGCTGAGGGGAGCAGCAGATGAAATCAGGAGATGTCTGCTGCACCATGTGGGTCAGCTCCCTGGCTGAGGATCGAATTTGTGCTACAGTGGCTGTGGATAGCTTCATCAGTTGTGCCTTAGCCCCTTGCGCCACCAGGGAGGCCTCATTTTTAAGTATTGAATAGTGGAAAATCTGTTCCTTGAAGTGAATCTACTTCAGCAAAACAGCTTCAAGTCATTAGAAGCTAAGTCTGGAGCCTGGGGATTTAAACCGGAAAATATCAAATGTCCCAAACAAGACATTTTATAAAGTTTTCCTGTGGGACTGGAGACCTGCCATCCACATTTCTGATATTGAAGCCCAACCTTCAGAACTTGCCAGCACCACCTCTCCTAGGTCACTGACTTCTCCTCTCTCTGTTGATTATAGGAAACTCTACAACAATGGCTTTACTTCAGTCCAAGGACACGCTTTCAACGGGACAAAGCTGGATGCTGTGTAAGTCGAGGGAAGTCCAGGAAACTTCTTCTCCTCTCCCATATTCCCACTCCCAAGAAGGACCCACCATACAATGGGACAGAATTCCACTATAGAACATCCCCCAACCCCAAAATGTCCAAAACTAGGGATTGATGTTTAAGGAACATGGCAAATGCCCATTGTGGTGGACACTTACAGTGATGCCAACTCCAAATCCCAAAGTTCTTATCCTGAGAAAATGGAAAACCATGGTGGCCCCTTGAGTTATCATACAGCGTGTGTGTGTGTGAATTTTTATTTACTGTGTACATGAAGCAAAGGGGGGGTCTGTCATTAAGTCCAAAGCTATTCAGAAAAATAAGATTTCCAATTTGGTTTTTTCTTTGGTTTTCAGGAGAGGTATCAGTTTATACTTGATCCACTCAAAAATAGCTGAAAAGCCATAGCCACCTTTGCCTTCCTGCAAAATAATAGCTAGAACTGGGTGTGGGCAGAACGATGATTATTGTAACTTGTCAGACTTTCCTAGTTCGTGTCCCCAGCACCTATGCCATGGCATTCTTCATTTCCAAGGGTTTGTGGACTGGTTCTATCATATTGATGTTTGTAACCTAATATCTAATAAATGAACAATAGCTTTAGTAGAGTTGCCTCCCACAATGTGGTGGCCAGCTAGTTTTGAGAGCCCTCCCTCTACAAAACAACTAGATCATACATTTTTAAAAAATGCATTTTATGTTATAGCTCTAAAAGAGGGGAACAAAGTAATCTAGGAAGCCAGGAGCTGAAAT